TTACCTGGTTCCAGATCTTCTCTATGCATCTGGGAAAGGCTGTTTTCGCCCTTCCCAGATGCATAGAGAGGATCTGGAGCCAGGTAAGAAAGAAAAACGGGCCTTCCCCACCATCACCACCCCCGGCCCTCCAGAGGCAGGAAACAGCCTGTTTCCCTACTTCTGGTGGGCCCAGAAGGCCCGAAAATCAGCTGGCCAGTACGCGCATGCACCCCAGAGCTGAGCTGGCGTGCCCATTAATATGGCTCAGCGTGCCACATGTGGCATACGTGCCATAGGTTCGCCATCATGGGGCTAGGAGGTTAAGTGAGCTCTTCCAGCTAATGATATTTTTATGGTAAGATGGAATTTATTTTTCCAATCATAAAAATTCCAACTTCCAATGAAACCCACTGTTTTTACTATTGGTTTTAACTGTTTAACTGTTGTAACTATTGGCTTTTAACGAGTATGTTGCCCAGATAACTGCTATTAATTTATAATTTAAATTTCTCGCCTCATAGTCTTTAAAAAGCCGGCGCATGAAGAACAACCATCCAAATCCGAAAAACAGCACCTACAGAAGCAAATAGAAATCAGTATCATCAGTAATTGTAAACTCAGTGCTTGGAAGAAATATTTATCCATCATCCGACAAAAATTAAAAATATTTTATATTTTATAAAAATAAAATATAAAAATAATAAATTAAAAAGAAAACAAAAAAGCAAATAAACTCAAAGGACAGACTCAATGGACCACTAGGTCTTTTTCTGCCATCCGGTTTTGTATGTTTCTAATACATAATGGCTAGAATGCTATTTCCAAAATGTGGAAATCTCAAAGCATATTAGCTAGCCTATGAAAGATGCTGGGGTTTTCTTGTTATGAAGTTAAGACAACCTAATGAACTGAAACATATATTTTTTTGTGTGTGTGTGTGTATTTAATAGTTGGATAAATGAATTATTTGCTTTAACCATGAACATTTTAAAACAATCATTGTACCAAAATGTAGCTACATTTTCCTATTTAAAAGCCCATTCTAAACCTGAGGAAAGTTACGTGTTTTGTGGAGACTACGTAAATATATCTCTGGGTCATGAAAAATATTGATTTTTTTGAAAAAAACAAACAAAATAAAAAGGGTAAAATAGGACAAAATTTCACACAAGGCTCATATCTCATTGTTATTTACATAGCATTTATAAAAAATAAACTTGCATAAAGCCATCTTGGTTCTTGAAACTATTTCAAATCCTAGTATGGATGCTGGATATTTTACAACAATGCTACATTCTGTATGTCTTGGATAATATTAAATTTAATCATTTAATTAAAATAATGCACCAGGCAGAGAGATATTAGTGTTAAGTATATAGTTAATCCTTGATTTACAATTGGCTTTTTAGTGGCTATTCAGTTACAATGAACATTCCTGGGGGTATTTACAAACCACTTCTTAAATTCTGATGGCTGTGCCGCCCATGTAATTTTATCCTTATATTGTTATATATTAAAGAAATGACATCTCAGGATGCAGGTGTTTCCCCCAAAAAATGGGAGATACCTTGCATATTTTCTAAAATGGAGAATTAATCATTCTTTGCTTTTGTTTCTTCATTCCAGTAGACCTTGAAAGACATTTAAATCTAGCTATCCCAAACTGGTACAGAATCAGTATTTGGGTTTTTTTTTTCTTTATCTGTTTTGTTCTGAAGAATTCAAAACCTTGAGTTTCATGATCTTAAAATTATCTAAGAAAGGTATCACTGTAAAGATTAATATAGACTTCTTTGGAGAGAGATAAACTTCTAAAGAGTTTTACAAACTTAAATTGCATCAGAGTGTAGAGCTCAAAATCCCAATCTCTTCCTACTAAAACTTTGTATATAATTCAGAGGTCACTAAGAATTGCTGCTACTCAATTCTAAGTGTTAATATTTCAACAGATGTAAATGTATTAAGAGTGTGCATAATTTATTAAACTACATTTATTAATTTAACTGAAATTTATATTAAATGATATATGCTTAATAGAATTCTTGAAAAGCAGCCATTCAAATACAGGACTGAACAAACTGCCCACCTTTGGTACAGAATATCTGATCTCAATATATACTATTACAGAATTGGGTGGGGGGATTGCCAACCAATATTCTGCTACGTTTGTCTTAAACCAGGGGTCCCCAACCGCCAGTCCATGGACAGGCACCAGGCTGCGCAAACAAGCGAAGCCTCATCTGCCGGATACAGGCAGCACGCAAAACCACACCCCTCCAATCCACGGAAAAAACTCTCTCCATGGAACTGATCCTTGGTGCCCAAAAGACTGGGGGCCACTCTCTTAAACCATTCCTACAAATAGCATTTAAAACATATTTTGCTATGCCTGCATTTGTAACACATTTTTTTTACAATAAACCGGGTGTTGTTATATATAGAAGTTTTAGGCTGCACCAAGTTTTTTATCCGTATATGTAATTTAGAGAATGTTGTTTATGAATACCTATCTGAAGAGCATATAGAAAGACAATACTTTTGATTATTCTGTAAACTTTCAAAAATCCTTCACCAAAAGTGAAAGCTCAGTCACTTTCACTTTTTATGGGCAGCAGATAAATTACAAGCATATCAAGCATCTGTTCCAAAGATCACTTTTCTTAAAGCATTCTTAAAGGATTAAATGGGATAATTTGCTACATAAATTGCTTGTACAATGCATTAAACTGTGTCTTAGCCAATAGGCATGTATGACCAGGCTCAACTTATCCTACTTTGGGCACTAACATTCTAATTTTCTAGAAAAGGCATAAATGTTTGAAAAGATGGAAGGACACAGAAGAGGATGTGGGTGGACTCGGTGCACCGTTGGAAGACCTGAAAAAGGCTTGGCTAGGCACAGATCATCACAGAGATTTATGTGGTTGCTAGGAGTCCAAAATGATTTGAGAGCACCTAATCACTTTTGTGAGCTCAGACTTTACAGTTCATAATGGCTTAAGATGTCATGCAAACAACCGGTCAAAATTGACCCAAGGGTGCTTTTTTTTTTCCAAGAGGCAACTGGACTTTGTTTTTCTTTGAAGACCTTTCACTTCTTATCCAAGAAGCTTCTTGGATGGTGGGGAATGGAAGGATTTATACTCCTTGCAGACCGGTGGTCCTTTGCATCCTTTGAGAGAGTCGTGGAGGCTACCTGGAGGTTTATCTGTGTGGTAAGCAGCACCTCTGTAACAACCATGACCTGGATGACTGAGAATCTCCACAGACATCGCTCAACATTGGGCACACACACCATCATGGCTCACTTAATCACGGTTCACCACGTCACCCTAACCCAGCCAGTTAAGAGGACTCCAGGACTCCATTTTCCGAGGCCCAATTCGCAGGTGCAACCCCAGTACTTGGTCAGGCAGAATTAATTCCAGGCAGATTATTCATTCACCTGAACCCTCTGACGCGCGATAACTCCTCTAAAAGAAAATAAAGCAATTTCTAAAGGAAGAGCCGGACTTTCCCCAAGCCCCGCGATTAAGGCCCGGACTTAACAGGGGGTCGTGCTCGGCTAGGGGGAAGGAAGCAACAAAATTCGCTATCCCACCCACACACCCACCCCCGGTCGTCCCATGGAAAGCCAGGCTTTTCTCCTACATCCGGAAAGCAGGACTGCCCCTCCTGCCCGGCTTCTCCCGCCTTTCGCTGCCTAGCCTGACGTGGGACCGAGAAGGCCGGTACCTGGGAGATGACCATAATACTGGAATCGATCAAGAAACTCATGATGCACAGCCCGTCCGAGAGGGGGGGGCGGGATGCCTCTCCCCCCAACGCGACCCCTCAGCCGAGCTCGCGCCTTTCCTGCAGAAGGGAGGCTCAGTCCCGCCCCCATTCGCTCCCTCGGTCCTGTGGGGAGAGCTTGGACGGGTTTGCAGAGATAGGAAACTGAAAGAGCAGCCCGAGCCTTTTTATCTGAGGGAGAAAGAGAGCGAGCCCTCGTTTGCTCCGCTTGTTTTGCGCGCTGTCGGTCTGTCTTCTCTCTCTCTCTCTCTCTCTCTCCCTCCTCAATTTATTCCTCCCTGGAAGATTCAGGGAATTGATGAGGGGAGGGGAATCCCAAAGGTGCTTTTTTCCCCCCCAAGAGGCAACTGGACTTTCTGCTTTTTCTTTGAAGACGTTTCGCTTCTCATTCAAAAAAAAAAAAGCTTCTTCAGCTCTGCCTGGATGGTGGGGGGATGGATTTATATTCCTCGCAGACGGCTGGTTATTTGCATTCAATATAAATCCTTCCGTTCCCCACCGTCCAGTCAGAGCTGAAGAAGGTTCTTGGATGAGGAACGAAACGTCTTTAAAGAAAAACAAGGAAGTCCAGTTGCCTCTTGGAAAAGAAAAGGGAAAAAAAAGCACCTTTGGGACAACCATGACCTGGATGACTGAGAATCTTCGTAGACACGTACGGAAAGGGAACGATATCTTTTTTTTTTAATTTCTCCGCTATGAAAATTAATAAAACGAGGAATGAGCAGCATTTCTTCTAACTCCACTAATTATTTTATTCCTCCTAAGAGAGTGAAGGGTCAGGCAGAAAACGGGTTAGAATTAGAAGTGGGTTAGATTGAAGCACTTGGTCCCTTTTACAATGGTCCGTTTCATGGAACACTAAGCTTTGCTGGCTGGGGAATTCTGGGAGTTGAAGTCCGCCAGGCTTAAAGTTGCCAAGGTTGGAGACCCCTATCGTAGAGGTCTCTTCAGGGCAATAGGTTTCACTTTCCTTTATACTGGAGTCTAAGACCTCTCAAGGGCCGCTAAAAAGGATTCAGAGAGCACGTCATCGACCGAAGCGGAAGACAACCAAGTTTATCCGCAGAGGCTTGAAAAGGGGATTCACGCGGTTCAGTTGGACTTCCGGTATCTGGAATCTAAAGGCGGCGCTTTGGGATGGTGGGCGGGCCTAAATTGGCCTGTCGAATTAGGGCCGGGGGTGGGGAAGTATGGCCCTTGGAATTCTGGGAGTTGAAGTCCACAAGTCGTGAAGGGGCCTTAGTTCCCCAAACCTCTGAAGGGAAAGGGAATGAGAGAATTGCCTTGTTTTCATTGGCTGAAGCGCGGGAATGACGGAAAGGCCTGGCTTGAGGAGCTTCTGATAGCATTTTTTAAGCGGGCGATTCCGAATTAAACATCCTGTGAGAAAGGGCGCCTCGACGATGAGGTCAGTTTTACTAAATTAGAGCCTGTTAAACAGCTAATAAAGGAGCAGGCCCGAAATGTAAGTCTATTGGCAGTTAAGGAATTATGGCACCTCGATGGAGATTTTTTTTCCTTCTTTTGGACAGGAAGAATAAATGGCTGTTGGAGTCGAGAGTTTAAGATTAGCAACTGCGCGGAGATCTACCTTAGTGGTGCCTCTTGAACACGGGATCATAACTTATTTATCTTCCACTATGGTGTAAATACTGTTAGATGTTGACACAAGTATGACATCAGAAGTGCCAATATATATATTTCAGTTCTCTGGGAGATTTCACTAATCTCAAGGTCGCTATCTTTAAGAAAATCAGTTACAGAGATTTCATCACTAAATAGTTGAGCTGGAATTCACTAGAACAGAGGTCTGCAACCTTAAACACTCAAAGAGCCATTTGGACCCGTTTCCCACAGAAAAGAAAACACCGGGAGCCACAAAACCCTTCCTGTGCCTGACTATTTCTTCAGCGGCCACAAAACTAGCATATGTAGTTGAATGAAATGTTCTGTTTTCTTCTGAAACTTTTCTTTTCTTGGATTGATCCATTGTTGGCCTACCAGGGGTTGAAAAGCTCAATAAATAGCATGCCAGCGGGTGTCACACATTGGCGGTTGTGACGCATATTTTGAATGACGGAGCCGCAGCAGAAGGGTGAAAGAGCCACATGCGGCTCCAGAGCCGCAGGTTGCTGACCCCTGCACTAGAACATGTAATGCCATGTCTCACAGATTAGACAAAGGCTTCAATTTATCAATGTAAGAATATATCACTTCTAGCTCTTGTCTCTTATCTTTTTACCTCCTCTCTGGTTTGTCTGTCAAAAGTTGGCTCTGCACTTAGTCTACATATCTGGTGAAATTTAATCCATAACAGTTTATATGATAATAAATGATCAATCTGTGGTGCCCATAGACATCTGTGGGGTTCTATAATCAAGTCCATTGATCTTTAAATAAAGATTCCATACACTTGACAACCACTGGAAGAAAGTTTCTTCCTAAGGACTTGTTTTATATTGATGCAGTCCACAAGACATGCTTAAATTTGTGTCAGCCTTTTTCTAATCATCCAATTACATGCATTCTGACTAGCCACTTGTTACGAGTACATACCAGCCGTACATGGCTTGAATAAATGCAGTATTTCTATGCTAATAATATAGATGAATTGACCAGCATGTTGTGAATGGATTTGCATGTAGTATCCAAAAAAAGTAGCTGAAAAATAAAATTGAAGAATAACTGAGCTAAATATGAAGAGGTCTTAATATAAAGGTTTGGGGAATGTAAGTCCAAAAATTATTAGCCAGCCTCTGAAAATATCTGATGACTGATTTTACAAGGATGTGCTAAAACTTTGCCCAGATACTTTTGTTTTGTTTTGTTTTGTAGCTGGTTTTGTTTATAGCATAGACTCTTATCAATTAAAAACATCACTTTAAAATGCAACCTGAAATGTATTTTGCTTTTTCCTGTTTATGTAAAAATAAAAGTTATTAATGCACTGCATAGCAAAATAAATATTGATGCCCATGGACAAAAGACTTCAGATTTATAGTGTTCCAGTAGAAAAAATCCTATCAATGGGGGAAATGGACATATCATTATATTATTTACATCTATATAGAAACTATGGTGTGTATAGACTTTAAACATAAATGGAAAATGTATTCTATCCTGAATAGTATTTATAAGGAAAAGTGAGAAGAAAAAACAACTAGAAAACCACACAAATCATATTTCTGAATAATTTTCTAATCTGGACTCATTAACTGAAAAGGCTGCAATTCAGTGAGCTCAGTTGGACAGGCTACTAAACAAACTTTATACTGCCTAGCTATTAGGACATTGCTATGCTTCACATTGATAAAACACAATTGAAAAATGAACTGATAAAAACACAAAATTTATAATTCAAACAAGAAGGTATAGGGATACTGTACTAAATATAATAATTATGTATCTGAACGAAATAACGATCGTAAATCTTATAACATTTTTGGCTTTAGTATACATGTGTGAATCTACAGACTCCTTTGACTTGTAAATAAATACCATTTGACCAATGAAAATGAAAGTAACTGACTTTGTGACTTTATTTGCATTATTGTTTATTACAGTATAAATTGAGTTATACTGTATTATTCCCATCTTAGATTTAAAAACCAGCTGAGTTGAGTTAGTGGCTCACTCTCAGCCCAACTCACCTCACAGGGTTATTGTAGGGAAAAATTAGACAAAAAAGTATTACATTTGTTAAGCATCTTGAGTTATTTATTTAAAATAATAATAATGGCAGGTTATATAAATTGTGTGTGTATGTGTATATATATTTCTATATCTGTCTATCTTATCTGTCATCTACACCTACGAGACTGCCTTTTGCCACCAATAGCCTCCCACCGACCAGTTCGTTCTCACAGGGAGGGACTACTCAGGGTACCGTCAGTCAAATTATGCCGACTGGCGACTCCCAGGGGGAGGGCCTTCTCTGTGAGGGCTCCACCCCTTTGGAATGAACTGCCCCCGGAGATACGGAATATCCCTGATCTCCGTGCTTTCCGCCGTGCCCTCAAGACCCTGATGTTCCAACAGGCGGAGCTAAACATATGAACATGTGAATGAATTTTTTAATGTTATCTAATTCTGGGTTTTATTTAATTGACCAAACTAAGTAATAATTTTAATTAGCAATTTTATGATGTTTGTGTGTCTATATTTTTCTTGACTTTACACTGCCTTGAGTCCTACGGGAGAAAGGTGGTATAGAAATATAAATAAATAAATAAATAAATAAATAAATAAATAAATAAATAAATAAATAAATAAATAAATAAATATCTAAACGTTTTATTCTAAGAAGGCAATTCATCTTGCTATAAGCTAATACAGTAAAAGAATAAATACAATTTTGCATTATTTAGACCTAAATGGATCTGAATAAATTAATGGCACAATCCATTATATTGATTGAGATGTAAATCCTATTTTTAATAGTGTTTCCCCAAGGTATTTTTGCATAGAATTTCAAGCTTAATTGGTTTGCAAGCTGATTTGCTTGCAAGTTTGTCATGGACATTTCCTATCCTGATCTAGATTACTAAGGTGTCTTTTTCCTACTCAGGAGTTTTATGCCATAATAAATATAAATTACAAATATTGTTTTCCAGCACTACTAGGCCTACATTCACATTGATCTATTAAGCATATTTATTAAACATATTTTTTTTCTGTATTACTATTACTGTTAAACATTACTTTGCCTAACCTCTGTGCAGTAGAGTTGCTTAAGAGATTTAACATTTTGATTTCTATCACTATTTTTATCATACAGCTCACATTAAAATTACTGTCCATCAAGACTGTGAAAAGTAGAGAGCTTCCATTTGACGTCACAGCGAGATGATGTGGATTAGTAGGGTTCCACAAAATCCAGCCGATTTCTATCCGCCAGGAGGTCTTTCGGGGCCAAAGTCACTCTGGAGGGGTGATGAAGAGAGGAAGGATCTTTTGTCGATGGTGATGGGACAGCAGTTCCCTCACTCAATTTGAAGGAACGTTCCTGACCAGCGGAAGAGAGGACGGCCATTATGGCCAGACTAAGGCTGTGACAACCAGGACAAAGAAGCAGGAAGTAATGATTTTACAACAGTGTGTCTGATCTGGTGAGATTTTTTTCCTAATTTCTGCCATGGAATTAAATCCCCAAGAAAGCACTTTTGAAAAGTGGGACTCTACAGAGTAGGAGGAAGGGAATACTCTCCCGCCTCTGAAAGAATAGCGGCGAGTGAGATTTGGAACCGATGACAGATCCAAACAAAAGAGAATCATAATGAGAAGGTAAATCTAAAAGTAAAGGGAAAAACATTATAATCTGTTTAAGATTTTTTCTTTTTTTTCCCTGTTTCTTGTAATTTTGAGCAACGAATTTTAAAGGACTAAACTTTTGGATTTTTTTAAAGTTTGCTGTAAAAATGAAGAGAAAGTGCCAGGGTGACACCTACTGGCTGGAAAAGACATTACACTAGTGGAAAGAATAGCAAAATATTTTGACTATTACAGATAAGAGAACAGAGACAATAGAGAATAGAGATAAAACAGCAGCTACTCTAAATGTTTTTGCTTGGTGTCTGGAGAAAGATAGTGAATACATTGAAACCCTTTGAAGCCTTGTGAATTATAAATACTCTTGATGGCCTAAACAGTGGAATAGCTTGGTTTTCCTTTAAAACCAAGTGAAGTGGCTTTTTGATTTATTAGATATTTTGGGCTATTGGATTATTGAATTATGGGGGACTTGGTGGGCCCTTTGGATTATAAATATCAACTGACAGAAGATAAAGAAATAACCGTAGTCACAAAATGGACTGATTTTGTGCACTGACCCTAAGGATTACAAATACAGATAACTCTGAGAAATGGTTGGTGATTGAGAGAAATAAACTTTTGATTGGTTTCCTAGCCTCCTGTGTACGTGGGACACTGTGGTGATTGTGGGCTGTTTTGGACCATTGTGTTCTTTTTTTTTGTTTCCCTTCTTTCTCTTTCCTCTTTTAATAACTCAACTGGATTGTCTCTCTTAATATTAGATGCTGAAATGACAAGTATTCAAAATTTAACTAGATAGGGGGAAAAGCATAATCTACACCATCATTAGCTTCCTCTAATCCAGGAATATCAAACTGACGGCCTGCCGGCCAGATGCGTCACACATAGACCACACCCATCCCAGCTCCGCAAAGGGAAAAAACATTGTGAAACGTCACATGATGGCAGCATGACACCGCAAGTTTGACACCTGTGCTCTAATCCATCAAGTCAAAGATCAATAGACACTATGCTACAACAAGAGAAAATGAATACTTCTCAAATACAAATGATGCTTTAGTCTACACAGGAAACTATGACAAAAAATCACAATGAGATGAAAAATGAGATGGGAGAGATGAAAAGTGGTATGGGAAAGATGAAGAAAAAAATACACAATTTGAATGAAAGAATATTCAGCAAATGATAACAAAAAATGAACAAAGGATTCAGAAAACAGGAGAAATCAGAACAAGCAGAAAAAAAGGTGGATGAAATAAATCCAAGACTGACAGAGGTGAATAAGGAGCTGGAAGACTGATAGTATTCCAAATGGAGAAGGCGGCTTATTATTTACGATTACAGAATATTGAAGAAGAAAAAGGAGAAGACCTTCTAGACATGATGATAGAGTTGTTGGCAGAGGCTCTAAAGTTAAATAAGCAGGAGATGGATAACAAAATAGATGAAATATTTAAAATACATGCGAGCTGTGCAAAAAGGCACAGACTCCCAAGAGAAGTGCATATGAGATTTGTCAAAAAATCAACAAGGGATGAAATACTTAGCAAGGCAAGAGATGAACCACTGCAAGACTGTGAAAAGTAACTTTGCAAACAGCAAAACTAACTTTCTCAGTTAAAAGCTAAGGACTATTTTGAAATGCAAAATTGCACGTTTAGTAAATAAATAAAGAATGCAAGATAATGCAAATCTTACATATCTTTTACAAAATTATTATACAATGTGTAAGGTTCAGTACTGAAAATGTTGGCACAAGTAAGTGTAGTGCATTGAAATTTGACTTACGAGCCCAATCTAATAGGATTACTTGACCAATAACTTTTTGAATAGCAAGCTAACACTTACCAGTTTTGGTGCCTCTTTTGCAGAGCTTGCAGAAGTAAGGCCTGGTATTAGGCAAAAAGGCTTAAAGTTCAGATTTGAGACCGGAAAGAATCACACACTGCATAGCAAGCAAACAGGTTTTATTTGCTCCCCAAAGAAAGATATAAAGGTACACATGAGAGATCTTACATTCCTTTTATCTGTTGAGAGCCCCAGTTCCAGCAATTAAACACCACCTATGTACTCTAATTCTGGGGTTAGCTATAGCAGAATGGTTCCTTCAGGTGGAAACATAGCACATTTGACCAAGTCTGCCTATGGTAATGCTTTGCCTTCCCATATTCATTTCTGACAAGGCTTATCATAGCTCAAATAGCCAAAGCAGCCCTAATAAACCTTAATAAATTCTGATGTGAGAAAAATTACAACTACTTAAAATTAGCACATTTAAATTAAAAGAAATACCTGGTATCTGTGACTCACAGACATGCTGTCAGCATTATGTAGCAAAGTGGGTTACATGCTAATTAGCCTGTTCAAGGACTTTGATGTTGGCCAAACTATGAGCTCTTGTCCTCCTAGAGATTACAATGGTCTTCTGATGAACATTCTGTACACCTGTGGTGCCTGAATAATAGTATGTCATAAAAGTTCTATGGGAATAAATGAAATACAATTAAGACATATAAGGATTATGGCTATAAAGTTAATTTAAGAATTGCTTCAGTTCAAATTCACTTCACTAATTGGAAACAGTACAAAATCTAATTTAATACACTCATCATAAATCTTTCAGAAACTAATTCTGTTCTTCACCAAAACATGAATGGCTTAATTTCATTGGTCCTTTTCCACTGGAGGAAAGAGAACTCTCCAGTGTCTGTAATCATAATGGGGAGAAAACCCTACAACCTAAATATATCATTCTCTAAACATTGTTTACTTCACAAAACATTGTACTTTGTTTAGTAGAAGTCAACTCCAGGAATGATTGCATTGTATAATACAGTATACAATTGGTAAATTACCCATAGTCATTTCCTATATTTGAACTAATATAATTTGGCAACTGTCATATTTTTATTTATATTCCTCATATGGCGTCTATGGCCTTTGTTACACATATGATTTTTGCATATTACATATATGATACTTATATTTCTGTGACCCCAGAAAATCACTGATTTATGACACTGTAATTTGCAGCTCTGAACTGATGAAATGAATTGTTGCTCCAAGGAAAAGGCCATGAAAGTAGGATTGCAGGGTTTTGTCTAGAGCTGCAAGGTGAGTCAATTCCCAATGGCAGAAATGTCTATTCCTGTCTGCCAAGTCCTTTGATTCTTACCTCCAAACTGAAATCAAAGCCCTGGGATGCCTTGCTGTTATTCCCCATCCTCCCCAGCAATTCAAGGGGTAGCTTTGCCACTCTCTCACGCAGAGGCCCTTTTGCAGCACAGTAAGAATGCCAAGGTTAAGAAGAAGATAGACACGGGACTGACTGAAGCACCATTTTTGCATTCATCCATTGAGAACCTGAAAGGAACATTGGTCAGTCCACAAGGTTTCTTAGCACTTGGTGTCAACTGTCAATAGTTAGGACATTCATGGGGACACAAATATAGTTTTCAGGGTTTGTGGAGTGAAAATGTGTCTGGGTAATGTTGGCACATATATGTAATAATGGCACATATGTGAAGGGCAATCAAGCATTCTTCACCTTCAGCGATACCTTTTTACATTTAATAAGCATGAGTACATAAGAGCCACTGGAATTCTCAGATCAAATAGGAGCTAATCATCTCTCACTAAGTGCTATAAACAGTGCTGGGAAAGTGACTGCTAGTGCCTGTGTTTATTTGCTACTGCAAGTTGTCTGGTTCTACAATGCCATATACATTATGGCTCAGAGCAGGGATACCTGGAAAAAAAAAATCACCTCCTCCTAAATGAGCCTACCCGTAATCTACAATTTCAGCAGACGTCCTGCTGGATGTTCCCCACCAGGAGAGGTTACACTGTGGATACAAACAGTAGGGACCTTTCTTTATAGGCTTCTTAGGTGTCAAATTCTTTTCTAGAGGAAGTCAATCTAGCCATCTCGCTACTGAGTTTCAGATATGCAGTATAAAGTATTTTGACTTATTTTGTCCCTTTAAATCATTTTATTTTACTGAGTTGTTAGCATTGCTTTGAGGCAAATTGAACCCTAAATATTTATAATGAAAAAATAAAGAGTTGTACTACAGTCTTCTTTGTTTACATTCCAAGGTATTCTTTTAAAATTCATTGAAGGGTTTGCACGTACAGTTACGATCTCTCCCCAGCAAGCAAAGGTATAATCTTAGAGAAAGTTGCTTTAGTGACTTCAAGTGTCAATAATATGCAGAGATTTAAATATCAGATTTATATATTTGCTTATAATTATACATCATAGTAACTAGAATGTGAATTACATCTATACAGTTGCTGTGATTACTTTCTTGTATATTAAGGTTTTTTTTTTTTTTAAATCTTCAACATTTTTCAAAAAGCAAATTAAAAACACTAATATAGAAAGTGATTGAGAGGAAATAACAAACATTAAAAACAAAAACAGTATTTTCAATAATTAATTTTTAAACTCATAGTACTTTAATTTTTGAACTTACTTATTGAACTACACATTTCCAGTGAAGAAATTGTGTATTGAAGACATTTTTCAGAGCTGACATTTGCTACTAAGAACAAGGAGCTGATGAATAGATTGGCTTCTTTGACCCTCTCAGAAGGAAAAAAAAAGGTTGTGAGATTGCCCATGTTGCTCCTCACCAGGAGACTGCAAGGCAATGGCCTCTGGAGGGTGGTGGAACCAGGAAATTCTTGCTCCAGCCACAGTCAAAGCCTTCAAAGGACACTAAATTCAAACTTCTTTTGTTAACCACCTTCAGAAATTGCTTATAAACTGCTTTAAAGAAGTTAGACATCTTCAAATGTCAAGGCTGGAAACACATGAGTGCCTTCAATCCTTAATATAAAAAAAAATGACACTGTATCTTTAAAAACCTTAAGAATTCAAAACTGAATGGCAAAAAGCAAGACTAAGTACTGAAGTCTTGCTTAAACCAGTCTTAAACCAATTAAGAAAAACTTGGACTATTTGATTTTAAACATTGACTGACATTAATTACAAAGAATAAATACATTTTTGTGAACAAGAAAAATTATTTTCAATATTGGAAACAAGTAGCTTACAATGGCATTCAGGAACAGCAAAAAGACTTTGAATTAACATTGTCAGCTATATTATATTTTTATGAACACCCTGTGCCAGATGATGTTACATCATAAAACATTACAGAAAAATATTTGGGGGGGGGAATCATATCTGAGGTGTTTGAGGAGAACAAAATGGGCAAGAATATATCAATGGATGTGCAAGAAAGTGGGATGAGCCTCTAAAAATTAGGAAGGAAATAAAAATGCCAATTGAAAACAATAATTGGAATAATTTCTTCCTGATGGATTTACCAAAGAGGCTTGTTAAAGTTCTGAAGAGGATAGTGATCTTTTGAATGCATTAATGAGAAAGATTGTTTTATGTAAAAAACCATGATGATGATGATGATGATTGGGATAAATAGTTTTATATTCCTAACTAAAAGGTGAAGAGATAGTGAAATTGTTGATACTTCTTGAGATAAAGAAGGAAATTGCTTTTTTGGTTTTCTTTCCTCTTTCTTTTCTTTCTTTCTTTCTTTTTTCTTTCTTTTTTTTGCACTTTTTCTTTTTTTTTTTTTATTATTGTACTTAAAACTTTTCATAAAAACATTCCCTTAAAAAACTTATTTATTAAACTTGTTATACAGTAATGAACAGCAAATTGTAATGAGCTGCAAATTGTCAGTACTCAAGTTGTTTTCTCATTTTTTGATAAAAATTGTGTCCATGTCATGGATGGAACTAGTCATTTATCTTTTGATTTCCTCCTAAATATTTTTTCTCCTATTTTAATCTTTTTGTAATTTTTTAAAAACCTGTTCAAAAGCTTATAAATCCATTATCAAATAAATCAGCTTGGCCATCTAAGGAAAATTCAAATGTAATTTGCTGTGTTTCTTACCTGTTCCCTCACTTCCAAGTGGATGTATTATATATTATATCAGATTATCTTTTGTTGTTGTTGTTTAACATTCTGATGTCCCCAAACCCTTTGTGAGGCTTCCAAGTTTCAAAATTCCAGAAATAATAGATTTATTATTAATAAAAGAACAATAGAATATTCTACTAGAAAATTTTAATAGAATAGTACTATAATTTTTAAAAAATTGAATCATCATTACATGTACTTAAACTTCTTTGCTTCATTTAAGAGATTCCCCTTCCTTGCTTCCAAGATTAAAATGATAAAGGATGATATCTATATATTAATAGAGTGCATTGTAATTTGGTGAGGTTTAATGTCCTGATCCCAGATCATGGGAGTGATTATGGAGAAAAATCCCTGGCTTCAACTGACTTCTGAATTAGGTGCTTATGCCTTTAATCTGCTGAAAAATTCTATGGATCCTTTCTGGGTGTGTTGGCAGTTTATGCAAAAGGGATTTTCTGAAATGGATTAAACCTCCCTTCGCATTGTTTCCGGACTGGAGAGAATTTGCTGAGCCACTAAGGGCTGAAAAAACAGAGCCAATGAAAGTGCATACCTGCACATTTCTGTTGGTATTAGTCTCCACTGCCTTAAAAAGATCTGATTTGCTACACATATGCAAGTTATATTTTCACCAAATCAATAAGAGAGAGGGATTTTTTTTATATTTTTTTTTAGATCTCAAGATAAAAATCGACATTTTCAAGAAATCAATTTCTCTTTCTCTCTGCTCAGGCACATACCTATATCTATATCTCAGAGGATTGTGCAAAATCTTCAAAGAGGTGTTTTGCAATGTGCAGGTTGCTGAACAAAGCATCTGTTTTGGGACTGTTAAAGCAGCTGGATTCTTTGCATAGTAGCTTTCCTAAGAAAGTGGGAAATGAGCAAGTGTTTTGCTAAATCAAAAACTACTTTGTATCACTCTGCACATTGTGAATCATTTCTCTGGAAAGTTTTGCTCAGTCCTAGTAATCTGCTGTTAGATAAACAGATGGCTTTGGTTGCCAGATAAATGTGTTGCTTTTTCTGAGGAGTTTCCCAGAGCTTTTGTTTCTATCATTATTCTAAGACATATTGCTAGCAGAAGAGAAAGCAAGAGAGCACAGCTATCAGATGGCTGCTGAATCTTATTTCGGTATTGGAGATGGGACCTTGAAGGACATAATAATATTCTTTGTCACCTCACTGCTACTTCCTGTTCTCCTAAGTGGCAGGAAGGCTGCCAAGGAGACTGCTTTACTCTACCAAATAATATGGTCATCCCATTCTACTGCTGAAAACAGAATAATGAATAGTAAATCTCAGTTTGCTTCAACAAAAACATTTAAAGGGGTCTATCCAAATGCATCCAACCAGCTTCATTCTGCACTGGTCCTGCATCAGTCCAAACCACTAGAATAATGACTTGAAGGCTATGCAAAATAGGCCATGCAATCAGCACAGTAGGAAATATATTACTAGGACTTCAGCTTTAACACATATCTCTCAAGCAAAAAGCAGAATAAGGTATCATTTGGAATACAATTATAACTCAAGTCTATATTCTCAGGGGGGGGGTTTACTTTCCATTTGCTAAAAATGATTTAGCTAAGGATAATTTAGCCTTCAGCTACCTATAATAAGCAAATGGCATTTTCATTATATAATACAATTTGGACCATTAAAATGCACATTTTCTCCTGGAGCTCATAATATATTACAGCTACAAGATACAGCACACTTCAATACATACTGTAAAATGCCAGTATTTTCTTCCATTTCTAATGTGGTCATTAATGATCTAATAGGAATCTATCTTTCTCCAAAAACTGGAACAGCTCAAAGTGGGGTAGGTGTTACACCAGTACAGCCTCTTCCCATGTGGTTGAAGATACCCATTTAACCAAGCATTTACTACTTACTACACTGTACATTTTAGAAGTTCAAATGAAATAATTTATATTTTTCACATTTGGTTTAGGTTATGTTTTTCATCTATCCCTGTCCTGTGATGAGAAACAATCAAATAAACAAATCAGCAGATCGCCAAAAAAAATATTTTGATTATGCCAACAGTTTGTCTGGCACAATCACCAATATTGGTTCTGTAGCTAAGTTAGGTTGTCTGTGAACTATGCTGATTTATCAAAGTAAACCTCATTTGTCTCCATAAGCAAACATTTCTGTACATTCACTGGGAGATGAATTAAAACCCCTTTTGAAAGGTAACTGATTTAAGTTCCACAACAAGGAAGGTGGCGAAAGCCCCAAGCTATCAATTTATCTCTATATATGACCATCAGAGAAATAACACCTCCCAAAGGCTAGAAGAAAAGGAGAGCATAAAAACAGTTGCAATCACAGTTGTTACATTTGTTTTCCTCATTGCTTTCAGTGGTTGGTGGGTTTTTTTTGTATCTCAATATTGTTATAGTGCATTTTATTTTATAGTAATGAAATCATTTCAAGTGAAGAATTCATTTCATTGTTGCATTACATGACTAACATGATAACTAGTACCAGTATCATGAAAAACAATAATGATAAAACAGTTAACTTTCATAGTACTTTTTTCCTAGCTAAAACATTGATAAATATTAAGAAACAATATTAAAATGACCACTTTAGCATCTTGTTTCAGACATCTGAGGTGTGTATATATGTAAGTGTAGGGGGGGGTGGATTCTTAGGTCACTACTCATACAGTCAGATCATCAGACCGAGCCCGACTGCTGCCTTTGCTTAACCTGCTCAGGGGTCTTGTGTCAGTTGTCACATCAGCAGATGATAGTGGCAAGTTCTGCTGTGGTGGTTCTAACTCGTTCTCCATGGCCTTTTCTTCTACTTCTTGTTCTGTTTTCTCCGTTAACAGTTCTAACCTTTGTGGTTCAGCTTCCTCAGCTTCCTTCTCTTCTGATTCCTCCTCTGCTTCTCCTTTCTCCTTGTCCAGTTGGTCTATGTGTGTGTAGGAGTGCAGTTGTTCATTAAATGTCCTGGAGAGGTTTTTCAGGTGTTCAATGCTACTCTTCTCTTCCATGTCATGCAATGAACTTTCTACTCCTACTTCTGTCAAAGGAAAGTAATGGAATTCTTGCTTCCCTTCCTCCTCTAGCAATTTATACCCTTTGGCTTTTTGGATAGATGAAACAGCAATAGAATGAAGGTGAGTCTCTGGCATTTCCACAGGTTGTTGTTCCACTGGTTTTTTGAAAGCATTCAAGATTTTCTTGAGACCCAAGTGACTGATCTCTACAAGATTGAGGAAAAGGGATACTGATGCCACAGCCAACATGAACATGATAAAAACAGTCTTCTCAGTAGGCCTGGATGTAAAACAGTCTACAATGTTGGGGCAAGGCCATCTGCCACAGCGGTAGAGAGGATAGATTCGGAAGCCATACAGAAAGTATTGACCCACTATAAACCCAACCTCAAAGAGGGTCTTAAAAAAGATGTGACAGATATAAGTTCTCAGAATGGTTCCCTCAAGATGGAACTTTTTGATCCCTCTGTGGCTTGTATCCTTCATAGAAACAGAGTTGCCGTCATCTTGGTTAAGAGGTGAGTTTTCTTCCTCTGCTTTTCTTTGCTGAGCTCTTTCAGCTTCTTTCCGCTCTTTCCTTTTCTGTTGCACCTTTACATAGTGGGCAGCATGGCCCAAATATACCAGCGAAGGAGTGGAGACGAAGATGATTTGGAGAACCCACAGACGGATATGAGAGATAGGGAAGGCCTCATCGTAACACACATTCTCACAACCTGGTTGCTGAGTGTTGCAAACAAAGTCTGACTGTTCATCGCCCCATACAAATTCTGCTGCAGTTCCTAAGATCAGGATTCGGAAAATGAAGAGTACTGTGAGCCACACTCTCCCAATGACAGTGGAGTGTTCATTCACCTCTTCTAAGATGTTCCCTAAAAAACTCCAGTCACCCATTGCTGGCTGTTTAAAAGAAAGACAATGATTACATTGTATTATACTTTAATAGTTTAAATATATATTATCTACATGTCTTATTCATTTTGTATTGTACATTTTGTTCATTACATTGTATTATACTTTAATAGTTTAAATATATATTATCTACATGTCTTATTCATTTCTCATTATTTTTAACATGCTTCACATTTTCACAATCCATATTCCAATGAAATCAAAAGCGTATTTCATTTTGAACTGTACATTTTAATCCAAAGAGGCTGCTGCAAGCAAACAGCATAGCAAAGGGTGCAAAGCCATGCTCTCTTCTCTTTTTTATTTTTAAAAATACTCTGAAACTACTCTGAAATTAGAAGCCATTTCATGCTATAAATTGCTATTGCCTTCTCCAAAAATCTCACAATCCAGAAAAGTTTTGGAAGGCAGTTCTTGGAACTCTACATGCTGTCTAAATAATTGTGGTCCCTATATATGGGAAGGATGCTAGGTCAGGGAAGACTAAAATGAAGATGATTCTAGCCATCACTTTTCCTGAGGGGAATCTTTTTGCTGGTTACTTCTGCAGTGTGCTGGATTTTATTGAAAGCATTTGGGTGGCAGTGCCAGTGATGTATATTATAAAAGAAAAATTATTTTCCTACCCATAAATTGAAAGCTGAAATCTGGTCTTTAGAAACTTCTATTTGATTATCAATGAGGTGATCAGTATTTCCAGAAAAGAAATCTAATCTTTTAGATAATGTTGGATACTACATTGTTAATTGTTAGATAGGTATTGGTATCAATTGTAACAGTGTCTATAATTACAATGTTCATAAAAGCAGATGCCTTGTGGACATTTAGCTCTTTATCAAACTCTATGGTTTAGAGTCATACATTGTGCTAAGCCATGGTTTGTTCATTACGGTTGAGTTTAAGTCATAAACTTAGTACAAATTTAGTATGTCCCATAATACATTAAACCAAAACCAAATAAACTACCATACGGTTTAGCAATTTCTATGAAACCAACCATTGTCTTTAAAAAATCACAGCTATGAGCTGGCTGGGCTGGGAGTTGTATGGATGGAAATTTGATAAGTAAATATATTTAAATAAATAAAATTGGCTTGTTACAATGGGCAAAGGTTTGAGATGTACAAGTACTTTCCATATTCAATATACAAATCCAGTGGGAAATATGTAAGCTATCATTGTACTATACTAGAGATCCGAAGAGTCTGGAAATGCTTATGTTCTGTTCGACTGTACTAGTACTCTGCTTTTCTAAGCATTATCAATAAGGCATTCCACATATTATTCTATATGTATCATGTATAACTTGCATTATTCCTTAACAATTATTCATTTCTCAGAGTATTCATCCACAGTGCAATTCAGTTCAGAATAATTAAACCAAATATAAACCAAATATAATTACTTTCTGACAAACTTAAAATAACATCACCGCCCTGAGTCCTGCTGGAGAAGGGCGGTATACAAATTAAAACAAATAAATCAGTAGCACACTTTCATTAATATAAACTAGAGCAATATCCACACCACCTTTATGCCCCTAAAGTTTATGCTTGCAGGTCAACACGCCATACAGTTCCTTTTAACATATTTAGAAATAATCTATTATAGTTTTTTTTTCCAGTAACAGGATCACAAGAGTCATAAATACTTTAACCTTTTCCTGAACAATTCCTGCAACAATGATAGGATGCAATGGTTATGGTAAATTTCTGGCTCTTGCATTCTTTTTAAAAACTGCAAACTCTTGGCCAAGTTCAAAGTGTTTTAGTTGAGGGAAAAAAACATATTCTGAGAAGACATTAATCTAATATTAATTTATATTTAAAGAAGCATCCAAGCAACTTGTCCTTTAGTTAAAACAATCCACATGTCATCCTAAGAACCAAATTGCACACTTCCTATAAAAAGCGACCACCACTTAGGCATAAATGTGCAAGAAAATTCTTATCTCCAAGCCTCCGATCAAACAGGACACCTTTTCATATTCAAGCTGAATGTATGTTTCCCCAAGTGCAGAAATTCAGAAAGAAGAAAGCAGGATATTACAGATGGTTTCATTAACATGTTTCTACATGTTAGATGCATGCTTGCAAAACAGCCTACTATCACCATGCATTCAGGTGTTTCTTTAGAACACCAAGACACCAAAAAAAAAAAAGGAGGAACCAAACAGTTGGCCTCTAGATGCTGACATCCTCAGAATCCAGGAGCTGTTTTTTTTTTCCCCCAACCACCTAGGAAGAAAACAATATTGTTATGAATATGAAGCAGCAAACTTGCCACAGTGGAAGGATCCGCTGAAGATACGTGCTCCCGTTGTTGCTGGGTACTCTGCAGCAAAAAAAAAGAAAAAAGTTTTAACTTTTCCCTCCTCTAAAAGTCCCCAACTTTGTCACATGACTGAGCAAAAGTGACTGGATCAGCATTGACAGGTAGGCTTTACTTGCCCCGTAGTATATAAGCTCTAAGCCAGACATCTTTACAAAATGAATGACATTCGGTGACAGGAAGAACAATAGAGAGAAAAGACAAATAAAAAGAGGCCCATACAGTAGTGGGAAAAAAAAAAGGAAAAAGATTCTGCATGTTGAATAGAACTAAAATGAATTGGTAACAGGCTCTGGGCACCAGACACTGATAATATAGTGCAAGCAAACATGCTATTTTCAGAGGCCAATGTTATCTTACAGAGGTATGGTCTCCAAAGTTGAGATACCCAGGGAACCTGTATCCATATGAAAAATTAATGGACCATTAATAAATAAATTTTGTCTGCTATAAATACATTTAATTTGAACAAAATGTTATAATTATTGTTGTAATTATACAATGCTGGTAGCTCAGCAGACTAAAAAAGCATTGTGATTAACACCAGCTGTCTGCAATTACTGTAAGATCGAATCTCACCAGGCTCAAGGTTGACTCAGCCTTCCATCCTTTCTAAGGTAGGTAAAATGAGGACCCAGTTTGTGTGGGCAATAAGCTGACTTTGTATAAATACACAAAAGTATGAAGGCTATTGCTTAACGCCCTGAGTCTCCAGAGAAGGGTGGCCTATAAATCAATTTTTTAAAAAAATGTAAGCAGAAATTGCCAGGGAACACAGTTTGAATACTGGGGTTATAGAGGATATTCCACTGGCATATTATTATTCTTATAATCATAATCAGAGCAACTTAATTCAGCCTAAACACATATTTAACAATCGTATCAATCTATGGGGAATTGAGAAAAGGTAATAATAAGGAACTTATGGATCTTCAAATGTTGCTGAATTGAAATTCTCATCAGCCTCATTCAGTATGGACTATAGTGAGATGGTTGGGACTTGTAGTTCACAGATACTTTCCTCTAGTCTTAGATAAAATTTGACCAAACTTTCTTTCAGAAGTGTCTATGGAGATTCTCAGTCATCCAGGTCATAGTTGTCCCAAAGGTGCTTTTTCAAGAGGCAACTGGACTTCCTTGTTTTTCTTTGAAGACATTTCACTTCTCATCTGAAAAGCTAAGAAGCTGAAGAAGCTTCTTGGATGAGAAACGAAATGACTTCAAAAAAACCGAAGAAAGTCCAGTTGCCTCTTGAAAAAGCACCTTTGGGATTTCTTTCATAAACCTTAGAACAACTTCAGATGATACCTGAGTGTATATTTCTTTACATTTAGCAGGATGATACATAGTGGAAATTTCTCAGGATACTTATATAACTTCAATTATGTTCAAAATTAATAGATTATAGGGTATTTTTACATATAAATTGCAATTTCCTACACTCAGTGAGCACACATGATCTGAAAGCAGTACAAAGAATATGGACAAGAGCATCATATAGTGTCATTCCATTATAAAAACAAAATATAGGAGGTGTTGACAAAAAAAACAGTATAGAAACAATAGAGATACTGGTATAAGGTTTAGGCAACTAGAAATTTTGAGAACAAGAGATGAAAGAATAACATCAAGGCCATTAGATTGTAGTATCTGTGAACTACAAGTCCATTAGGCATAAATATAGCACAAGGCCATACTGTACTACTGCTGTAGCACAAGGGAGTTGGGACCACACAAAGGACAAATGCTACCTTTTGCTCCTTCTCTTCATTTTCTTTTATCTCTGCCTTTGCTCTTTCCATCTGCAGTCTTAGTCTGGCCACTCTCTATGGCAATGCCAAATATGATTACAGATACATTCAGGAACTAAACGAAACTCTATTCTTGGCAATAGTCAATGGCAACATCCATTTCTTTCAATTTGACAGGTCCTTGTTTCTTCATGTTTTCTGGAAAGAGAAGATTTTTGCTTAGTAATTCCTCTTGCCTTCTTCATATTTCACATCCATGAATAGTTACAAACCTATCACTAAAACTGGTTTACCCTGTTAAAATTAGCATGGAGCCTACATTTTATATCAAGTGTGGATGCAATTAGAATTAGTGAGTGCAGGGGCAAGCAACTTGATGTGTTCCAGATAAGAGAACACAATGGCTAAAGACTCTGAGTGTCAGTTGGAAAGCAGACACCCTAGGTTTGAATCCTAGCTCCGTGTGATGGGGTGAACTCCCATTACTTGCCCCAGCTCCTATCCCCCTAGCAGTTTGAAAGCATGCAAATGTGAGCAGATAAATAGGTATCATTTTGGTGGGAAAGTAACAGCATTCTGTGTGCCTCAGTCAGGGGTGGGTTTCAACAATTTTTACTACCGATTCTGTGGGTGTGGCTTGGTGGGCGTGGCATGGCTTGGTGGACATGGCTTGGTGCGCGTGGCAGGGGAAGGATACTGTAAAATCTCCATTCCCACCCAATCAGCTAGGACTCGGGGAGGCAGAGAATAGGTGGGGCAAAGCCAGTCAGAATTTTTACTACTGGTTTTCTGAACTACTCAGAATTTCCACTACCGGTTCTCCAGAACTGGTCAGAACCTGCTGAAACCCACCTCTGGCCTCAGTGTATAGTCATGCTGACCACATGACCATGGAAATATCTTTGGACAACCCTGGCTCCCTTGACTAAGAAACAGAGAGAAGAAATATAGAGAGATGAGCACTGCTCCATAGAATCAGACTTGACTGGACAGGGAATATCTTTTCCCTTACCTTTATTCTCCAGATGTTTTGGATTTTGTTTTATTAACAGCTAGACTGACTCAAGCCCAAGTTGAAGTTCAAAATATCTGGACCACACGAGACTGCTCATCTCCATGCTAAATGGAAAGGCATGTACAGCCAGCCTCATTATTAGGCAAATTAAGTTGACTTCCTCAGGCAACAGGTTAAGGTCAGTGCTAGCAGGTCTATCACACACATAAACAAGTACAAGCGGAATTCTTTCTCTTGAACCAGTCTTTCAACAACAGCCCTTCATGGCACAGGCCCAAGATACTTGCAGGACCACCTTCTACCGGCCTCCCACCACCCTGTGCAGTCATATAGGGCTGCCCTCCTCCGGGTACCATCGGCCAGTCAATGTCGGCTGGTGGCCCCCAGGATGAGGGCATTCTCAGTGGCCGCACGGACCCTCTGGAATGAGTTACCCACCAGGCTCTGGACAGCCCCAACCTCTGCACTTTCCGCACCGACCTGAAGACATGGCTGTTTCAGCGAATTCCCTGATCTGCTTCGAGATTTTTATTGGCTACTTTTAGGGTTTTTATTGTTGTATGTTTTAATTCTGTACACCACCCCGAGTCCCACGGGAAGAGGGTGGCATATAAATTTAATAAAAATAAATAAATAAATAAACAACAGACTGGATTATCATTGTTATGGAAAGACTGGGTGACTTTTTTTATCTTCTCCTTTTTCTCCCAACATATTACAAAGTAATACTGGGAAATAGTTTTGATCAAATGGCATGGGTTATCTAAGGAGCCACCTCTTCCCCATTACATCTACCCAACCTATCAGGTCCAGCAGGAGAGACATGCTGTGAGTCCCTTGTGTGAAAGGGTTCCATCTAAGAGATGAACATTTTCTGCCATGGATACCATGGCATCCAGCCTCTCTCTCTCTATATATATATTCCTATTAGTCAATGCCAATTTATATTCCTGTTTCTTACTCCTTACATTTATTGCCTTTCATTCAGGGGTGAAATCTACTTATCTTCCTTACCGGTTCAGAAGTGCATGCGCCCCATGTGCAGACCGTCTGTACATGCGCAAAATCTTCTATGCATGCACAGAGAGTAAAAAACACATAACGACACCCGGGCAGGTGGGCAAAGCTTTGCTCCACCGTTGCTACCAGTTCTCTGAACCACCGGCGACGATCACTACCGGATCACCCGATCCAGTCCGAACCAGGAGCATTTCACCCCTGCTTTCATTGCACTTATTGCACTGATATTTTAAAGCCAGATTTTGACTAAAGACTTGCCACCTATTAATTCAGATACAGAAATGAATTATCAATAGAAATATAGGATGGGAGCAATGCAGAATATTTATATGAGACTCCTTGTTCTCTGGAAACATGAAATCAGTAATTCAGTAAGATCACTATAGCACTAGTGAGAGACTTGGTAGAAAACTTATAAGATGGCAAAACTTTAGAGAATTTCTATAATTCTTTATTGGATTGAGTTCCCCCAAAGCTTGAAATATTGCCATGGTGTCTTAATAAATGAGAATTAATTTGACTAATGTTCCATCTTATCGGTATATCTTATTTGCCCATCACTTTCGTAACTGAGATTCTATAATGACCTATTTTATGTTATTTTAAACATAGACTTGTATCCTTAAAGAACTTTTCAAGCTTTATAAACTTTTGAAGTTTCTTTAAAAAGCTAGTCATTCTAATAAAATATGGTCTATATATGCTGTAGAATCATTTTCCTCTCTTTTGGACTTGAGCTAAGAACAGAGATTCTTTGCTAATTATCTATACTGTAAATCACTAAGGGTTTTAGGGAGAAAGTAATGGTGCTAAACTCTAAGATCATCATTTATCCACTTACCATAATGTCAAAGTGGGTGGATGCTTGTAAATGGATAAATTACTCTGCTCTTAGAGCAAGACAAGTCATCTGAGTAGGATCAAAATGAAAAGAGAATAATGGCAAGCCAGCAGAGTGGTGGGACCAGAATAGCTTAAGAAAAGGTGAAGAATATGCCATTCTTAAGAAAAGGTGACACAATATGTGTATGCAGGGGGGGGTGCAGACTGGAGATTAGGCAGTTGCAATAAGAAATCACATAGCTAAAAGAATTTTATATACTGCTGCCAAGATCACTCCATGGAGTGATGCTTTTGTAGTCACTGA